ATATATATGTATATATATATCTTTAAACGTTTTGGTAAAACAAAACTGTTTTGTAGAAGTTTTTTGGTTATTTTTTTAAACTAATGAAGTGATAAAGTATTTCAAGTTTTCATTATTGCACACATTAATCAAAAATATTGTCTTTTCGACATTATGTTTTGGTTTAGGTTAGTGATACAGATAGATTAATGACATTGATTCTGCTGATATATATGTACTTACTTATACACTGTTTTCTGCTTTAAGTAGCACATTATCTTTAATAGCGACATTTAATATTTTGTTTTAAATTGAAACCATTTACACTTGTAATTATGTTTTAACTTTTTTCCTGAAACATCATGCACGGAGAAAGAAATTCCGGTAAAATTGCTGTACTGTATTGTAAGGACATTTTTAATTTTAAAGAAAAGAAAGAAAAAACATTAACTCTGGTTAGTAAAATCATAATATATGATATTTAAACTGTTCATATTATTGCCGTTATTGTAACATGTTATCTGAATCTCTGGATTTAAAATTATAGGTATAGTTCTTATTACACACGTTTAGTAAGAAAATGAAAAACTAACAAGCTAATTTGATCAAATATGTGTTTTTTATGCTCTGCTCTAATGCTAGAAAGGAGGATGGGGTGGGCTTGGTCTCTCTCGTTTTTTGTTGTTCTTTAATTAAAAAATAACTTGCTGAAAAGTGATTGTAATTTCTGACTTTTCATAATGTGATCCAATTTAAGTTCAAGTATTTAGAACCTTTTATCTAGAATGAAAAAGCCAAAATCCTTAAGTATTTCGTAACGCAGCTAACCCAGGTAGTTTGGGAGTACAAGGTACCATTCTTTCTACAAGAGATATCCAAGTTTCAGAAAAAAAGAGTATTTCAACGCATCCATAATGTATACACGCATAATGTATACACGTAGGTTCCGTTTAATCAAATATCATTGCTAATTAAATTGGATAAAATACCATGTAATTTTTATGATGAAGTCTATAACACGTTTTTAATGATTTTATTATGATTATTATTGAAGATTTTAAATTTTGAATTGATCAACACAAAAAAAAATTGGGAAGGGTTAAATTGGCTCCTTCAGTATTCCAAGGTATACAACAATGTTAAATTTTTGAGTGCTGAGGTGACCCTACAAAATTACAAATTTTACCACATTTATCAAATTTTATCACACATTATAAAACTATATTTTATTGCTAATTTTATCAAATTACTCAGCTTTTTGATTCTCCCATAGAGCCTGAAACGCGGTAAATTATATCGTATCACTGTTGTTTTGACCAAATGTTTTAGTCAGTGTATTTTATGGCACTCTAAACAAGACAAGTCATATTATATGCTCCATGCATATCACAATTCTCATTTTTCGCCATATCCCATTCCATAGTTTCTTAAATGGGCGATAAATAAAAATCAGTTTTTACGATCTTTCAGATATTCGTACGCTTGTTTGCGCATAAGTTATGGTAAAATTATTACAGACAAACATTAACAAAGGCACTTTATATAATTTGTGTAAATACTACTAAAACAATTACATTCATCTTTCAAAACACAAGGATGCATTGCTTTTCCTTAAATCAATATTTACGAAATTTATATGAATTAAAATTAAATTAACATTATGTAATACCTAAAATTCGCAGCATAACCCTTAACATTTTGGGTCAAATTCATTGACTTTAATCCTGTCATTCATATAGCTTTAG